ATGATGGAAAATAATTATGGAAGCCATTATTATTTTTTCGTTATTTGTTATTTACCTTGCGATTTTAACGCCTTTTTTAGGTAAATTCCAGAACGCAATCAACTTTATTGAATAAAATAGTGGGTTTATATAACAAAATTTTCGTAGAAAATAAAATATTTCTAAATTTCTTTTTATTCACCGTTGGGATTTAGCAAAATATTAATAAAGTTTAAAAGCAAGTAAAAGAAAACAATAAAACAGAGCAGCACACGATACAATCTGAGGCAATTACATTTATTAGGGTATATTAAGTTACGGTCATTATAAAGTAGCCGTTTTTTTAACCCCTGTGACTTTTTAGTGGCAATGGATGAGCGACGGCTACTTAGTGACCTAGGAAGGTAGCAGTAACCATTTTGCTACTTTCAATGCTACTATAAAATAGAAGTAACTAGGCGTCGTGGCCGCGACTACCCCTTAACTTAAATTGTTACTATAAAGTAACAAACACTTAATGGAGGCATTATGGTAGCACTTGTTGGTAACCCCTACTTTAAAAAGTTACTACAAAGTTTTTGGTCTTTTATGGTGTCATATTCGAAGATTCGGGTAGTTCCAGCCACTTCTTTCAATTACATCTTTGCGACTTGTAATCGGGGTGTTTATTTTCCACTTTTATTGTAGGTAGGGACTAACCGGTCTCTCTTGAAATATACTTCAAAGTGACTATTCCTTATAGAGTAACATTTTAAGTGGCGGAGTGGGCCTAGGAACTATACTTTAGGGGCAGTGACATTTCAAAAAGGAACTATATTTGCTAGTTGGGAGGGTGTTTCAAACTTTCACTAAACTATCAAAACATTTTGTTCTCCCCCGTATAATTGGCAGATGGAAACTTTCATTTTTAATTTAGAGAGAGATACTAAAAAGTCAAATAATTTAGCTACAAATTGCTTTAAAAATCATCAAAATCGGTCCACTAGAACAAAATATATTAAACTTTGTAACACATCAAAATTTTAAGGTGCCCGTTTTTCGTGCCGGGGAGTGTACTTCAAAAATGTTCGAAATGGTGAAATATCAGTCCTCTCTTGAAAAGCAGTAATAGAGAGAAACATCAGTAAATATCTGTTCCTTTGATTGAAGTTTAGAGTATATATTCTGTAAACTTTGCTTTGATTCGATAGTTTAATAAATGAACTGACTAAAAACCTCCGTTAGATTTTTGAAAAAAATGAACGTAATTTTAGAGAAAGCCTTTTAATTACTAACCTATTTCCACTAGGACCGATAACGGCAGTAATATTCTATTTTTTTGGTAATAATGCATTTCCGGATAAATATTTGCGATTTTGGTATTTTTGATTCCATATTGTAATTAATGTGAATTTTCGACACAAAATGAAAATATTCGGTTAGTTCGTACATTTTTGCAGCAATTTAAAAAAATATTTTTAATGGAGTGAAGTCTCTTTCGAAAATTCAAATAATACCAAAATATTATTAAAATTAAAATGTAACTGTGATAAAAAATAGGCCAGTAAGCGAAGATGAAAATAGGATATTACCTCCGAATTCTTGACATCCGCACCGATTGACGTGAAGTTTTAACAGTGAATAGAGATATATGTAAGAAACAAAAGTTACATAGTAGCGATGTGTGTTTTCACCCTGGGGGTGAGTGCCACCCCTTCTCGGGGGTGAAAAATAATTCACCCATTTTAATTACAAAAATCACTAAAGGGATGAATTCTAAGCAAAAATGTTCTATAACCTTCTATAACATTTATTCAGAGAATTAATATTTTCCGAGTTATTTAGGATAGAAAATGTTGATTTTTCATCTAAAAAACTGCATATTTTTTGGCAATTTTTTATAAATAACTCGAAAATCTTGCGTTTTATCGCAAAACTCATATAAATCAAAATTAAAGCTTTCGGAATAACAAATCAACTCATTTTATACCGTAGGTGTAGTAATAGCCGAGTTATCACTCTGTAAACTTGATTCTTTATTTTTCGAAAATTAAATTGCAACCTTTTACCGTAAAATAATGGCGAAAGAACACATTTTTCGAAGAAAATAAATATGACAGTTTTTAAAGCGTTTGAAAATACCTTTTAAATGTCTTATTTTTAAGGTCTTTTCAAGTTCGTAGCTCAAAAACTCGCGGTGTTATGTTAAAAATAATATGGTCACCTCATTTTTTCGGAAATATATTAACAACAAAACCTATGACTAAAATCATAAAAATAAAAACTATCAAATTGTAGGAAATTACACGAGCTACAAATTAACCCCTATAGTTGAACAGTCTTGAACTCTTCATTTTCACGAAATTTTTGGGTTTTAAGGGCTCAAAGAAGGTGGTCCTTACATGCAACTCAAACTAAAAAAAACGTAATATCTACGAAATAAAGAGATCTACAGAAAATTTAAAAGGGAGCAAAAATATTGCAAAAAAAAGACCTTCAATTTTCCCCTGTTGCATTTTTTACGTATCTTGCTTAGTTTTTGAGATATACCAAGAAAATTAAAATTTTTTAACAAACAAAAATTTTTTTTTTCATTATTTTCAACTTTTTTCCAAATTTAGGCATTCTAAACCGCTCGAACTTGCAGAGTCAATTGCTAGTACCTAAATATAGCCAACTGTACATGTATTACGCTTAGTTTTTATTTTTATAAATTTAGTCATAAATTTTGTTGTTAATTTTTTTCCCAAATAATGAGGTGACCATATTATTTTTATTATAACTCCGCGAGTTTTTGAGCTACGAACTTTTTTAAGAAAGCGTTTAAAAGGATTTTTCAAGCACTTTGAAAACGGCCATATTTTCTTCGAAAATTGTGTTCTTTCGCCATTATTTTACGGTAAAAGGTCGCAATTTAGTTTTCGAAAAATAAAAAATCACGTTTACAGAATGATAACTCGGCTATTATTACACGGTTAAAATTATTACGGTAATCAACAAAAAATGGATCGTTTAGTTATTCCAAAAGCTTCGTTTTGCTTTATGAGTTTTGCGATAAAACGCAAGGTTTTCAAAATTTGGTAGAAAAAATGAGAGACAATAAAACTGCTACAAGTTCTAATAATAATACTAATGTTTTTGTACCTACTATAGGTTCTTTTAATTTCAATTCAAATTCAGCATCTTCAAGTACCGCAACGGAATCTAAACATAATAATTTTTATAACTGTGTTTTTCACTGCAATTCTTCATATAGTTTTTAATTTCTAATATTATAAGTTCTGTTTCATTTTATTGCTTCATTTTTAAATAGATTTTTTTAATATGTTCAAATAAATGTTTTTAAAAAATGTATGTAGGTATTTTCACTTTTATTTTCATGTTTTTTATTCGGGAAATATTCTACCGAATTACGCTCATGCATCAAAATTAACCTGATAATTTTTCATTTAAGCATGTTGTAAATTTAAAATTCAAGCATTCGTTTATATTCATATTTTGGAAGAGCCCTCCCCCTTCTTATGGCAAAATATGAATATAAACTCATGCAGTTTTTAGACAACACGCTTTCATGAAAAATTATCGGTAATTTTGATGCACTTGGGAAATTACTTCCGAATAGAACATGCCATTTTTTTCAAACGTCACAAATAGTTTTTTAAACAATTTTAAACGTTCCAAATAATATAATAAGATTTAAAAGTAATAAAAGTAAGTAATTATATATCGAGAAACTCTGGTTCGTTCGCTCGTTGAATTTGACACTTTATGTCAGTTTAATAATTTATTTTCGTCCTTTTATGCATAAACCAGAGAGAAACTAATAACTAAAGTGAGAGGGCTTGTGGAATAGGGCATTTCGTAGACAACAAAGTAGACAAGTTTATTTTGTCACCGCGCATCCCAGACGCGCATAGCGTTTAGGAGGTCAAAAAAGGAAGTTTTCAACTTTGCAAGTTAAACATTTGACAGGATTAATTAGATTGTCAGTAGCTTTTTCTATTTCTTAGTTCTAGAAGAAGATAACTAAAATCTGTTAATAATCGGAGCAAATCGGAGTAATAAATTGTTTTTGACTGAATGTGCCTGTTCTTTTAGCTTGTCAGAAGAGAAGATTATTGTCATTATTGATTATTTCAAGATTATTTCAGATTCCACGATTATTCGGCATTTTTGTAATTTTTGTTTTGTGGTTGAGACCTAGAAAAACGTTTCCTTTAAAGGTAAGTTTTATCTCGGTAATTATTTTAACATACCTAATAGTAATAGTTTGTGCACATAATAATCGTACATTGCTAATTTAATTTTTTTAAATTAAAACATCACATTCTTTTCTGATACCTATGGAACGACAAGGTATTATACCTGGTATTATTTCCAGTAATACAAATTATTTTCTTCAACTGCTAGGTTCTTGTTATAGAATAAAGACTATCAAAAACATTGAATACCTACGGGGTACCTAATGATACTCTGTGCGAGCTCCCAACCGTGCTTCCCTGTTCACTCCCAACCAAGTTAGATAAAAAAGATACTGAAGATTGCAGCCTTGAGTTGGAGTATGGCAAGGAGTCTGGAGTTAAATAAATTATTATGTTCCTACACAGTATTTTATTTATAGGTTTTAATGCTTTAAAGTCTAATAATAAATTTTCGTTGTCAACAAAATAATCTAAAAAACTACGAAGATTTCTTATTATAAACTTGAAAGATTAAGATTCGGTTCAAATATACAAATTTTAAATTTTTGGCGCCAGTATATAGGTATGAATGCAACCTACTATATCGATAATGCGCTCATAGTTCGGGTTAGACGCCAAAGGCCGCGCCACTAACACAGTCTTCAAAAATTAACGTTGATCGGTCTCTCTCACTTTAGTTATTAGTGTTCTCTCTGGCATAAACGTAAAAGTAGCACTTTGATATCGTCAATCACGTCGCAAAAATTAAAATGTTTGTGGCGTTTGAAAAAGAACGATGTTTATATGTAACATTCAACAGGACTAATGAGCTGAAAAATTAAATATTATTATTTCCTTTACCTATAGCTCCTAAGCGTAAGTAAAAGCTTCCATACTTTTTAGAAGATTTGCGCTTATACTTGTGTTGTAACTGTGTTCCATTCTCAACATCATCTGCAAATTATAGAAATTATTACGATTAAACTAAATTCCTGTAAAAGTTACTAAATTATAATATATAATATTTAAAAATATTATATATTATAAATATTTTAAAATGTGTTGCCACATTCATCAGTGACGTGCATATGGGTTTCACTCAGGTTTCACTGGAATATTTTTCTAAAAAAACATTTGCACCACTGACTTTTTTCTTTTGTTTACAAAATTGTGTAGACCGTTTAATGCCAATTAAAAGTTGTATCTTGATATTTTGTCGATTTCGGTCACCTTGATGAGATAAACGCAATTGTATTAATTTGCCTTAATGGAAGTCAATAACAACCTTTAAAAAAGTTTAATGTCATTTTAATGTAAGGGAGCGAAAATGTATAATTTTGAATGTTAAAACTTTTAATAAATAGGTCTGTTTAATAAAATCTTAAATACCATTACATAATTCTACCTTGTATTTGTTGTAGATAAGACTGAACATCAGTGTTATAAATTTTGATAATATTTAATAATAAATTGCGTTTATTTTATTAATTAAATAACAGTTATTTTTTACACAAGACGATAAAATGGTATTTTATCGTCGACCGAAAAGATTAAAGGCAAGCGGCCACTGCGAGCGTAACTAAACTAAGCTAAGAATATGAAAACAAACGGTAATTAAATGGGAACTCCACTGAGAACGATTTTCGCTCAGTAGTCAGCTAAGTTTTCGTATCGTATCTCTGCTATCATAGAACTAATCGCTGCGAGAAATTCGCTGGAACCTGTCACGAACTAAAACGAGCGAAACTAAACTACGATTCGAATCTTCCTTCATATATTTTCGTTTTGTTTCGCTCAAGTAGCCGCTGACGCATTAAAGGCGGGCGGCCACTGCGAGCGAAACTAAACTAAGCGAAGATAAGATTTGTAAAAATCAGCTTCCATACTTTTTAATGCGTCAGCGGCTACTTGACCGAAACAAACGAAAATATATGAACGAAGATTCGAATCGTAGTTTAGTTTCGCTCGTTTTAGTTCGTGACAGGTTCCAGCGAATTTTTCGCAGCGATTAGTTCTATGATAGCAGAGATACAATACGAAAACTTAGCTGACTACTAGGCGAAAATAGTTTCCAGCGGAGTTCCCATTTAACTACCGTTTGTTTTCGTATTCCTAGCTTAGTTTAGTTACGCTCGCAATGGCCGCTCGCCTTAAAAAGTATGGAAGCTGATTTTTACAAATCTTATCTTCGCTTAGTTTAGTTTCGCTCGCAGTGGCCGCCCGCCTTAATTCGGAAGAGAATTAACTTGGGGAGACGATAATGCAATTTTATCACCGTGTGTAAAACAATATGTTTTCCATAGCGAGTTACGTTTATCAACAAAAAAACATATTGTTGATAAAGAACATTGTATAGATCTTAATAATTTAAAATTAATTAAACAAGTCTCAAATTACAGGCAATTAGATGCATATGAAAGCATCAGAATTAATAAATGTAAAGATAGTATGAACAGAGACAACGGTCCAATTCCTTCAAGTTCTTTGTTCCTACTACTCTAGTGACGAAAATCTAACTGTTACGCTCAGTGGGCTCTGACTCGGTTGGCTAGATTTTGCCACGCCCACTCGGTGCCCACTGAGCGAGTATATATACGCTCAACTTGTAGATTGTACTTTAGTTTATAATCATCTGCTGATGATGCTAACATGGTTAGCGAAACGCGCGTCCAGTTTAAAAGTAAAAGTGTTTTGGTGTATTGTGGTGATTTAGTCTTTTATTTTGCTAAACACTTTTGCTAATAAGAAGAAAAAAGTCAGTGGGGCACATGTTTTTCAGAACAATATTCCAGTGATAACTCTTCTGCACGTCACTGGTAAATATGTCGACACTTTTTTAAAATTAAAATATGTAGCACTCATTGTAACTTTTACCCTCCAAATTTCATTCGAATCGCTAAAATCGCTTGGAAGAAAATTGTAACAAATGGAAAAAAAAGTGAAGACTTTTACCTCCTGTAGCTACAAAAGAAAGCAGAATCGAACCCATATTAATATGAAAAATTAATCTAATTTTTACGTGAGGAATCTTCCTACAAGGGATGACACATGTCTTTTGAAACACCCTGTATATTAACTTGCCAAAATATTAAATTAAGTACCCATCAAATAATTTAAAAAAAGTTCCTATAGAAATGAATGCGGAAATGCACAGTTTTAAAGTTACAGGATGTTAAAACTTTTAAAAAATAGGTGGTATGGCTTTAGAATAATCTCAGTTTAAAGGTTTCATTAAAGTAACTTATAAAAATGTAAATTATATTATAAAAATGAATACCTACCGTAGTGTTCAATGATGTGTTTTACGGCCTTCTCCGTGATTAAACTAACATATTCGTATATGATGAAGGTAATACTTCCAAGGTAAAGGTACAGGTAAAAGCCCTGATAATAAAAGGGCTTAACTTCTGCCGTTATTACCTCCGTTATCGGAAAGGCCATTCCCAACACCACTAAAAGTTTGGCGTAGAGGGCCGAAAGAATTATAGTAAACCCTTCGCTAGAAGAAACAAAAGTAGTTTAATTATGTTTGCAGGTAGTTGTGTCCGCCAAAACGGTTCGCAACGAATGGAGAAAAAATTATTCTACAGGGTGAGTCTTAAATAAGTGCAAATATTTTCAGGGGTGGTATATTTCGACCCCAGGAACACGTCTATGAGGTTTTTTTCGCCTAAAAAAGATATTTGTGCATTTTTCGAAAACTTTTTAGAACTGCCTGTTCACCGCAAAGTTTCCCACGGTATAATTTCTTAATCTCTGATATTACCATAGTTACTGCTTTACTCTATGGTTACGCCACTAAAAGATATGCAATTACAGAAAAAAACCGGTGGCTCTCAAAATTTTTTCAAAAAAAAATATATTTTTTTTAAATTTTCAAACTTAAATAACTCGGTTATTTTGGACTTATCTGAAAAATGGTAAAGAGAAAATGTGTTTCTTTTTTCGAGATCTACCAGCCCTGAAAACACTTGATTTAATTTAAGACTTACCCTGTATTACTGAAAAAAAAAATATTTTAACATATTACGTGGAAACTGTCAAGACCACTTTTCAGTTTTAAGAAACTCTTGAAAAAGGACTAACAAGCCGAAACTTATACCGGGTTGTTCACCACGTCCGACACGGAGTATTGTAGCTAAACTATTAGATTTTTACAAATTGTAAGTTTTGGGTTCATTGCAGGTAGGGTTCAGAACCGGGAATTCCCGGTTCTTTTGAGACATCAAAGAACCGCTAAAAAAACGAAAATTTCTATAAAATTTGACCTTGAAAACACCATTATGGGTGCCGAGTCAGGGCCGGATTAAAACATATCAAAAAATTTCCCAGAAAATAAACTATTGATAGACAGGGTCGAATTAAAAAAAATACTGTAATTGACTGAAACTAAATTTTATTTACACAATACTTTTATCTAAACAAATGAATCGTTAACCGCGCATACTCCTCGAAAAGTAGAAATGAAAAAATCAATTTAAACATTTAACTGTAGAGAATAGACAATTAAAATTAAAAAACATGCCAGGAGTTACAAACAAGAATTAAAGAATACCCAATAAAATATCTATTGAACAATCTAAAGAGGCTATGTACAAATTATGTCTATCAATGGACATAGCAAATTTTGTTAATATTCAAATTGCACAAATTAACAAATCAGCTAAAGAAAGAAAAGTAACTGATGAATTTAAATATAAATGTTTGGCTATATACTTTTCCGGGCCAAAAATATACAAGACGCTCTTGACAAATCTATTTTGCCTTCCACGTCCAGAGACCCAGAGACACTAAGATAATGAATATATGACATCGATATCAAACCTGGCTTAGAAAATCTTAGTGTATTTGAGACTCTGAAAAAGGAAAGTTGAAAGTTTCGATGAACCGGATGAACTTAATCGATATTGTGTTCTATGTATTGATGATATGAATATCAAGTGTAATTTATTTTATAATAGTGGTCGTGATAATATTGTAGGTTTTGAGAACCAGAAGAGGAACAGAGAGTTTAAACCAGCTCGAGTGTCTAATGTTGTTATTGTAAGAGGTATCTTTACCAATGGGAAGCAGTCCCTAGCTTATTTTACAAGCTTTTATTTAACTTGCTTTGTATGTATGCTTGTTCGGGGCAAATTTTGTAAGCTAAATTAGAAGCACTTCCTTTCATTGTAGGAAATTGAAATTTGGCATGTAGGTTCAGTCCCGATGACAATACATTTTCTTGGCATGACCCGAATTTTTGACAGCTGTCAAAAAAATTTCAAAGTATAGGATGGCCATGGGCTAAAATGAAAGAAAAAAAATTGAGCTATCAAATTTGACAGCTGTCAAAAAAATTTCAAAAGTTGTCCGATTTTGATAAAAATCTATATATAGGATGGCCATGGGTTAAAATGAAAGAAAAAAAAATTGAGCTGTCAAATTTGACAACTGTCTAAAAGTAATCTCAAAGTTGTCCGATTTTGATAAAAATCGATATATTGGATGCTTCCTACCTCATAGTCGGTTTTCATTTTATTTGTCTTACATTTGAACTGTCAAATTTGACAGCTGTCGTTTTTTTTTAAGTTCTCCTTTTTTAATTAAAATCGATATACATATTATTAGGATGCCCATAGGAAGTTATTTAAGAAAAAGAATTGAGTTTAAGTGTGTGGCACTGAGAAACCAGCATAACTAAAGAGTAAAAAATAATTTAAGAAAAAAAACTTTTTAAAAACAAGCTTTTATTTAAATACATTAAAAAGAAAAAAATAAACTTTTTCGTTAAAACTTTTATTATGAACTTATAACGTCATTACACAATTTTATATTATATAAAAGCTTGTCGCGAGATTTGAGTGTACAGTTGCACTCATAAAAATCTGGTACGACAACTTTATCTTGTAATTCCTGTAATTCTTGTAATTCAAATATCTTGTAAACCTATCATTATTCCCATCCAGGATAAATTCATCCAGTTTAGAAGAACATTTAAAAAACTTTGTGTCCGAATATTACACACTGGTACTGAAAATTGTCAAAATGATCTGGCAAACATCTTATTAAAAAGGGCAGACCTTATTATAAAAAACAAAGAGACCTCTGTTCTTTTCTCTCTGAATTGTCATGGCTATCAATAAAAATTAAAAATAGATACGGATAATCAGAAAAACAGTAATTTAGAAATGAATCTTGTTTGTCATTTTGTAGGATACCTAATAATAAAAATTATTTTGAATGCCGTAGGTAATGACTGAGTATTAAAACTAAAAGAATTCCGGACTTCCATTGTACTACTGAACTACAAAAACCAAATATATCACACAATAAACAAAAATAAAAAAACAAAATATATCACTCAAGAAAAGAATGAAATAAATTAAGCCGCACGCTACTGACTCAAAGCTGCCGTAACTGTATGTTGTCGATGACAAAGACTACGACACTGGTTAATTTCTGTTGCTGGCACCCATAATGGCGGCGTGCGCTAGGATATGCGCGTAGCGTTCCCGCCAAAGTGAGTTGGTCTGCCGTGTGATTTATATGCCGTGGTAGAAGCATGCCTATTAAGATCTTATTCCGGTCCCTTTGATGATTTCCTGGAAGCTACAGACAGTGCAGTCGAATACATCCGCAATTTAGATGTTTGTTTGTGATACTTGTTCAGTGGCGTATCCAGGTGGGGCAAAGGGAGTAATTGTTCCCTCCAGACACGATGCGCGCCGGTCCAATTTATATTTTAAACAATAATTTAAATACCATCAGCTTCGCAGATATTTTTACAGAAGCAAACAGAAACATGGACGAATTGTTTGGACAGGAAATAAAAAAAAAACAATAACTAGTAGACAAAAAACAGGCCGAATTTTAAAACTGAAACTGCTCAAGATTATTACAGATTATCAATCTTTATTTCTTTTTTAAATCACGAAGGAAGAACGATTTGTTAAACATACTATGGTCATTTAGCTCTCTTTTTCCCTCCTTAAATAAAAAATCCAATAATGAAGTATCGAATCTAAAATATATGCTAGATTTTTTATAAAAACGACTTAGAAAACTCAGATAATAAATGACTATAGTCAGATAATAACTGACTATAGTCAGATAATATTTGTACAGTTTTAGACGCTCCTGGATATATTAAGCATGCGCAGTATATTTCGCAACAGCCGGTTTAAAAAAATATTCTCTTGAGTAATTTTTCTCCAATGTTGAGATCTTCTGAATTGTTGTAAACTGTCCCCCCCCCCCCTATGTGAGGATGGTTCCTCGCCCCTAAAATAGCATTCAGTATGTTCATAGCAAGCGTATAGCTTTTTCAATAAAGAAATTATAGCACAAAAAATTACAGATAAAAACTACGGTCGAATCAATGAAAACCGTAATTATTGCCGAAGAAATTTATTTTTTTCTTCCAGGTTCGGATCTAGGTGGATGAAATTTATATGTAACAGTATACTAGAAGGTTCACTCTATGATATTTTGTATATATAACCTTGCGCGAATGTAAGCGTTTTTTTGAAAGTCATAATAAACATGTAGAAACTAGACTTGAAAAAAATTGGGACATTTTTTTTAGGTTTGTTGTTGGTAAAAGACCTCTCTTTACGGAAAAAATTGTTGGAATTGAACAACACAAGGAAACTTCTGAAAATAATAAATTTCATTGTATGAAATTTTTGTACAGATTAGGTAAATTAAGGAAACCATAATTTTAACCCGCCATAACTCCCCGACTAAGAGGTCAACTCAAGAAATATCTCACATGGTGGGGCTCTGGGATGTCCTTTATCCATCTATATAAAAAAACTTAATGAATTAATTTTTTTGTTTTTTGGGCTAATGTCCCGCATTTCCCGATTTCGTTACACTGTGCGGCGTCGCGCGTAGGTAAGGGGAAGTAGTAATAAAACATGGCTGATTTCATTCATAAAATGTCCAGTGGCGGCGGCATGTTTTTATAAAAGTATACAGGGTGTCTCTAAAAATATTATATGACTATTGTCAGTTATTATCTGGCTATAGTCAGTTATGATCTGACTATAGTCATTTGTTATCTGACTATAGTCGGTTGTTATCTGACTATAGTCATATATAAAAAGAACTCACCTGGCCCCTCAGCGCTTCCGTACTTATTAAACCATTTTCCTAAGAATTAGGTAGGTACTTACTTGTTAATGTAAAAAATATATATTTAGGTATAATATTGAGTTATTGACCCCCCAGGCATAAATCCTGGATACGCCACTGTACTTGTTATATGTATATTTCTATATTTTAGACTTTGTTAGACTATTATTATTGTTTGTACACACACTTATTTCCTGATCTTTACTTGTACAATGATTATGGTTCCGTGTTCTGTTGTGATGTTTAGCCATACGATAGATAGATGCTGAATGTATTAGTTATATTTTTTGTGTTATGTTTTTTATAAAAGCGTCTGCATCTTTCATTGAAATGTTTTAAAGTTTTTTTCTAATTCAGTTAAATTGGTTTCGAGGTTGTTTGATGTTGTTTGGTGTAATTTTTAAACTACCTATGTGTTTTCCTTTTTCTATCGCTTGTGTTCAGTATTTGTGTTCATGTTTACTTTCCCATGACTTATTAATTTGATATTATTTTCATTAAAAATCTCAATTTTCTGTCCATATTACTTTGAAAAACGATTCCTTGCTTTCTGATTGATGAATTGCACCACCATTGAACAAAAATTAGTCAGTACCGAAAGTACCAAAAAAACGCGGTACGAAATTCCCGATTCCGAAAAAAATTTTCGGTATCCAAACCCTAATTGCAAGACTATTAGAGCTACAATTTATTACTAAAATAATATTACAAGATACAGAGTGCCCCAAATGAGTAAAAAATATTGTAGTTGTATTTTTATAAATGGGTATATTACTATATTTAGTATATTACCGATATTACTCTATTTTTATATAAGAAAATGCATTTTCTACGAAAACTTAACGAGATTGGTAAAAGTTGGTATAATACAATTTGATAGACAATTAAATTGTGCATCTGATTCTCGTAAAATATACAGGGTGTTCTATTTAAATTAAACAAGTTATTGCCGTTTAAAGCTGGTAATTATTTAATATAAATTTTTAGATACTCTGTACTTAAGGTAGTATTTTGTTTATTATTGCAATACAATATCTGTACAATAAATAAACTTCAGTAAATATTTAGTATTAAAAACTTAGATAACCTTGGAGAAATGAAGCCTAAAAATGTTTACTGCAGTTTCATATCATTGAAAATATTTCAAAAACGGTAAGGTTTAAGTGATCAGATAAACCTTAATCAAATTTACCTTTTTTCAATCGTAGAATCTAAAAATAGAATAATATATAGGGTTGTCTATTTAGAAAAATAAAACTATAATATTTTTGACTTATTTGGGTCACTCTGTATCTTATAAAAATATTTTTAAATTGTAGCTCTAATAGTCCTTCAACGAACCCAAAATTTACAATTTGTAAAAATCTAATCGTTTAGCTACAATACTCCGTGTCGTATGTGGTGAATAACCCTGTATGTAGAGTTAAAGTTACTCTTATTAAAAAAACCTTTACATCTAAAAGCTGTTTTATTAAAATACTAATAAATATCATTATTTAAAAAATATTTACTTACTAATTCATTGAATTAATGAACCTTCTTCTTCCAAAGCCTTTTTTATTATCTTTTGCTGAAGTTGGAGGTGTATTTTCATTACTGAGTCCTAATAGATACCTTCTCTGATTCATTACAGCCTGAGCAGCTGACAATGCAACTGCCTGAAATAGAACATTAATTCTGAATAATTAATAATGTCAGAAAATAGGTATACTTATCAATTAATTAAAAAAAATAGATAAAGTATCGTTATGTAATAGTGAAAACTTTTGCTGCATGATTTTTTAAATTGAATACCCTGTATAATATTATTGGTAATTGTAAATCATACAGTATTTTCAAAATCCTACGCTAAAGTTTCTATTTATAATATATAAGACAATTTATCTTTGATGTTTTAAATGGATCACCCTATATTATTTTTTCAATAGCTGTAATATTAAAAAATTGACATTTTTTATATTTAGAGCGTTTCAAAATATTTAACTGCTTCGCAGTTCGCAGATATTCGCGGTTTTATATTTCATATGGCATTTTCCAAAGTATATTTTTATCAAAGCCGCCCAATGATTTTTTTCTCGTATTTTACCGTTGAAAGAACCATATGAGATAATAATGCGTGTATCTGCAAAACTATTAATAATTTTGAAATACTTTAAATACAAAAAATTTATTTTTTAACTCTCCATCTAATAAAATGATAATATACAGGGTGTTCCGTTTAAAAAGACAAAGAAAAATTATTTTATATTTTAGAAAGTTTGGCGTAGAATTTTGAACACTCTAATGTGTGTGTACTTATTTCAGGACAGTTATTGTATTGAAGGAAGATTGAGAAATATATATTTTATATATTTATTAATATCTCTGAAATTATCGAAATATATTTACTCATATTTTAGAATTATGTAAAATGATCTGAAATAAAACCAAAAATGCAATTATATAGAGGGTGTCCCATTTAAAAAAATTATCCCCATCCATTCACACTTTTTTGAACCACCCTGTACAAGTTAAAACATTTTCCTGAAATACATCCTCGTACATACTTTAGGTATGCACTTAAACAAAAATTGTAATTTTTTTATTCTAGGAGCTACAGATGCCCGACGCACTATTGCCAGACTCTGTAGTTGAAAGTAAATGTTTTGAATAAATTAATTGTTATTTCAGGATATAGATTTTATCTGTGCCACTGTATACCGCCTGCGTTTTTTTAAAAAAAGTGTCAATGGAGCTCAAAAACCGACTTGTCACATAAGATAAACGAATATCTAAAGTTACTAACACAGATTTCCATGCAAATTATCGTTAAGTCGACAGGCTGGGTGTGAATAAGGTGTGTTCTAAATCCCATATAGTTAACTCTATAATTTTCTTATTACCTGTGATGGCCTTCTAAGTGCTGCAATGATAGCACTAGGTCTCCTAGACGATAATGCACTAGAGTCACTACAATCACAACCATTATAAAGCTGGGGTTCTACATCGGTTATTATTAGTTGTGGAGGATGTGAAAAACAATACTCTCGTTCGGTTGGAGGATTTCTGTTCGATACAATAACCCTAATAAAATTTATAAATTATCTACTTTAAATTTAAATAGTGCTCTAGAAAATATAATATAATATTAAACTATTTTAATTTTTCACAGTTTTTCTTGTAAATATTCAATTAATATAATTAATTTAGAAAAAAAAATCTTACATTTCATTGTCGAATTCTTCATCTTCCTCTACTTCCAAAACATCTGTCTCTAATTTGGTTTTGGAAAACCCAACGCGGCGCAAATCTTTTTGCCTGTAATATAAAATGACAACAAACCTATTAAAATTTTCTTATAGAGACTTACTTTTGAGATCAAAGCACCCATCTCAAAAGTGGCTCACCCCTATAACTTTTTTTTTATTTTTTTCGTATAAAAATACGAGATTTGGTATGCTAGTATAGGACATAAATTAGGATTGATTGACGTATTCAATTATTGTTTTCGGTTACTTCCTGTTCACCGGAAATTACTACAACTGATGATTTTTAAATGGCACCCTCGGTATTTTTTTACTTTATTCGATAGAAAATGACACTCTGAATAGAATGACATACATATCTTAATGTCAACTTTTGACATCTTTGCATATTCATTCAAAATACTAAGTGTGTGGTACTTACCAAATTATTCGTAAAAAAATGCTTTTTTAAGTGCACGAATGAGCCACCCTCGTTCCATTTAAAAAAATTGAGATATGATTAAAAATACGATTTGGGCATCTTTTAACCGGCCAGAACAAGACACTAAAAATATTAGACGATCAAATGTATTTTTTCAAGCCTCCTTGATTATAAATTAGCGTTTTTAATACAGCCATGGCACCAGGGGTGGATGGGCCGGTGGGCCGGCCCCGATCAGAGCTCAAAAACAGATTGGATTAACGAAAATTAAATAGTTTTAAATAGCTAAGCTTCTAACTAAAGTTACGTAAGATTCTTAGTGATTGCATAACTAACTAATCAATTTGCATCAATATAATCGTCAACTGCTATTAAACAAAAACACTAATTTGGAAAATAACTATTGTGAGATGTCTTTTTCTCTGAGACACATATACTTATTTTAATAAACATCTGTTGTTTGTTGTCCGGTTTGAAAATTTTGTTTTAGCCGCTATTATTTTATTAATAACCAATAAACATGACTCTGGAAAGTGTACAGCAGAAAAAAGAATAAATATGAGTAGGTAAATCTAAATAGTCTCGGGCTAAGTACATATTTTTTCGGCCTCGGTGCAATATTTCTCGGGCTCCCCTGAGTAAAAAGGTACACGAATTTGACGCAAACTCTGCGATTGAATAGAAGAAAATAATAATATAAATTGGCTCTCTGTATGTTTCGTTTGAATTGGGGACGACCAACCAACGCCTAGCCATTCCAGACACTTTCTTTACGCCAACGATCTTGCAATAGCTGTTCAAGCCAACAACTTCGAGGATATCGAACAGAGCCTAGAAAGCAACCATTGAAAAAATATGTCTGAATATTACAAAATCAGCTCTCTGAGACCCAATCCTTCTAAGCCAAGCAAGCTTCCGGCTAAGTCCTCCGAGACGACTGAAATCCCATCGAGTCTTCCGAAACACTGTAAATGTACAACCACCAGCAGTGGGATTCTGTAAGCTCCGTAGCAAGAAATTTCCTGTGCCTATACTATTTGTATACGATTGATGAGTCACTAGACAGAAAATATCTTTACAGAATAGCTAGCCAGATGAGTTCCCCTACATCAAGATCCACCAAGGGGAATCCACTTGGATTGGAAAACCTGGAGAGCACTTAGTAAGATTAGGATTGGCGTTACTCCAGTAAAATCCAACCTACAACCAAAGTTTACAGAATACAACCTAGTGAAATGGGGTGTAAATCATAATGGGGACACCTAGTGTAAAATAAATTTAAATTTTTTTAAAAATCCGCAGGCAAATCAGCTTATTTTTTTTCGAAAATATTCATCCTTACATATACAGGGTGAGTCTTAAATGAGTGCAAATATCTTCAGGGTTGGTAGGCAGGGTTCGGAAGTAGTTAATTAAAACGTAATTTACCTGATTAACTACGTGTAGTTTTTCTTCAAAAACTACGTTTTTTCCTGTTCATTAACTACATGAAAGCTACGCTAATAAACAATGTATTAATATTATGAATAATTTTCCTTTGTATGAGGTGCAATAGAGATAATATGATGTAAATATTATATGTAAAACCATATTTCTTCTGTTTTCTTAAATACATTTTGTGTTTTTAAAGCTTCAACTTATTATAACCTCACCTCAAACCTTTGATATTTGAAAGTTACATACATAGGTTACATAAACTACACCCTCTACATAAACTACATTAACTACATGTAATAGTTTATGTAGTTTTTAAAAGTAACATGTAGTTTTCCGAACCCTGTTGGTAGGCCTCAAAAAAGAAACATATTTTTTCTTTACAGTTTTTCAAATAAATTCAAAATAATCGAGTTATTTTACTTTCAAAATTTCCAAAAAAAATAAATTTTTTGCTTATATTTTGAGAACCACATCTTTACTAGGTTTTCTTTTTTGTAAATTTAATTTACTATCTATGTTGCCATTTTATCAAGAAATTAAGTCTTTTAACTAAAAACTAAAAAAAATCCAACATTTTTTCAAAAAATTCCAAATTCTCAAAATTTTTGTTACGCGAAAACTACCTCATAATCGTGTTTCTAAGGTCGAAATATACTACCCTTGAAAATATTTGCACTTATTTAAGACTCACCCTGCATATATTAATAAAAAAATATGTTTCTTCGTTATGGTCATTTTGATTTTGTGGATTTGGGCCGGTTGCCTGTTATTTCCCGGGCCGGTTTCCTCTTTCCCATCCACCCCTGCATGGCACCCTACATTAAAATTTAAAATACGATTTTTTTAAGTGAAACTGTCAAATTTGACTTATGATATGTAATTTTATTCAGTGTGTCATTTTCTATAGAATAAATTAAAAAAATACCGGGGGGTGTCAAGGGTCCCTCTAATAATAATAATAATAATAATAATAATAATATCTTTATTGCCCAACAGTTACAAACCAATTATAGGACAATTTTACAATATATATCTATAAATTAGTAATACACTAACCTCTAAATAAAAAATAAATGAAAAAAAACATATCAATGTAAATTAAATCTTAAAAATTAACAGAAGTAAAAAGCACTGAAAGGTGAATGATACAAAAATCAGATACCAAGTACAGATGAACAAAACAAAAAAAATCCAAATTAAACAAACTATAAAAACAAAACACTATATAAACAAAAAAAACTCAAATCACACCGCTGTGCAGCATATTATTAGCTAAAGCAATTATGTGACTTAAGTTATCAAAGAAAATATCACATTTATCAGATATTACGTTATAATTGCTACACATGACATAAACTGGAGATTTAAGCAACAAATTAGTTCTGGCTCTAGCACAATAAAATGTTCTATGCGATCTAGTCGATATAGAAGGAACCAAATAATCTATATGTGCAACAAGCTCAGAACTATCTATCGCATTATGCAACAGCTTATACAGGAAGACTATTGATGCGCACTTTCTTCTCAAATCGAGAGTTTGCAACTGAAAGGTGCTAATTAAATTAATGTAGGGAATACCCCTTTCAGGATACACTCCGCTAACTTTATATGAAACAAATTTCAAAAATCTTCTCTGTACTCTCTCAATAAGCTGCCTGTAACAGGTATACACAGGGTACCAAATCAATGAAGCATATTCCAGTTTAGATCGAATGTATGCTGAGTATAATATTAAAAATGCATTTGAGTCAGTAAAAGACGCACAGTTGCGAACTATAAAGCCGTAAAATTTAAGAGCCTCTCGTACCTTGGTTATAATATGATCACTAAATGAAAAAGACGAATCAAAATAAACTCCAAGATCTTTGATTACACTAAGTCGTTCCAATTCGGTATTATTTATATTATAATTAAAATACTGTACATTCTTTTTTCTGGAAAATGTCACTATCTTACACTTATCAACATTTAACTTTAGTTTATTCCCATCACACCATTCTACAACGCGATCAATCTGTGTCTGCAAGAAACTACAATCCGCTCTATCCGATATACGCAAGAAAATTTTTAAATCATCAGCAAAAAATAGTCTAAAACACTTAAGGATATTATCTAGATCATTAAAAATAATAGAAATAAAAGTGGGCCCAGGTTTGATCCCTGAGGAACTCCTGACGTAGCAATATAGTCAGTCGAACAGTAGCCACTATATGAGACAAATTGCTTTCTTTGAGAGAGATAAGATTTTAAAAATAATAAAGATGGTCTAGTAAAACCCATAGAGTTAAGTTTGTCCAGTAATATAGAATGATTTAGTTTGTCAAATGCTTTGGCAAGGTCCGTATATATAACATCCACCTGCCCATTACTATCAATGCATTCAGATACATATTGCGTAAAACATGCTAAATTCGTAACGGTAGATCTACCCGTCATAAAACCATGTTGGTTACTAGATATTACACCACGTACTGAACTATATATTCGATTATACATAATTATTTCTAGCAGTTTAGCAAAATTTGATAAGATTGAGATGGGACGATAGTTTTCCACGTTATTTTGATTTCCTGATTTCAGAATTGGACATACTCTTGCCTGTTTCCACACCTCTGGAAAGGTGTTTGAATTGACAGCTAAATTAAATATTTTACCTAGTGGGGTTGCTAAAATGCCAATGCAATCCTTCACCAGAAATGCTGGAATTTTGTCAGGACCCGATGTCATCTTATTTTTTAATTTTTTTGCAGCTATGAGTATTTCCTCTTCCGTGATATTAAGAAATGTTATATTAAACTCATTGCTAACCACACACCGATTCCATTTAACATTGTCTTTATCGGGCGGGGTGAAAACACTCTGAAAAAATTTAGCAAAACTATTCACTATTTCGTTTGGACAATCATGTACCTCATCATTAAATTTCATTTGACCGGGTATTCTAGAAGATTTATTCCTCGCGTGGATAAAGCCCCAAAAATGTTGTGGATTTGAAGACACAGAGGTTTCGACTCCGCGAATATAATTTTCGTAGTTAGCTTTGATTAAGCTTTTAATAAGTGCTCTCAACTCTCTAGTCTGGGTACCAGCCCATCAACCGATAGATGATATACACTGTGTCAATTTTAAAACTTCCTACCCTTAATATCTTTCTTGCAGTTAAGAATATGAATAATCGGAAAGACACTTTGAAACACGATTATTCGGAAACCTCTGGAAAAAAGCAACAAAGTAGGATACCACTAAAAAGAGAATTAAACGCCCTTTAAAACGATGTGCCACATGACCCCCATTCCCATATAAGATTGTAAGGGTAACATCTACCCCTCCTAGGAGGTTGAAAGAAAAAGGCTAAAAATATTTATTATTAAGTGTCCCCGTTACAAATAAAATTGACATGTCTTTCCGATTTTTGATATTTTTCACTGCAAGAAAGATATTAAGGGTGGGCAGTTTTAAAATTGACACAGCGTATAATGAAAAAGCGAAAAATCTAGCTAGAAATGGAGCGAACACTCCACTAACTAGACCAGAATTGTTCTGCTTCCCAAGTGGAAACCAACTTAAAGCAAAGCCCAAGAACCTGGAAGACTCCATCCGTAACCTTGAATGGAAGTCACTCGAAAAAATTTTTCAGAACTTATGGCCGAGAAAAATCAAAGTTTTTCCTTAAATGAAGTAAAAACAATATTCGGATTATCACGGAGTTTTTAACAGGACAGTGTCTCCTCAATGAACACCTCAGTAGATCGAAGCTAAGAAACAACGGCGAATGCAGATTCTTTGAGGAAAATGAGGAAACACCAGAACACTTCATAACTGAGTGTGTCGAGACGATAACCATTCGTGCCATCAACTTTGGTACGGCTGATATGGGAGATGGAGAATTAATCTCTGTAAAACCGTTTCTCCGTCAAAACCCTGAGACTGATGACATACAATGATATACAATCTATCATCGATTTTCCATAAACGTCTCACGATAATTCACTCTGTTATACTAATAGTATGCATAAATGTTAAAAATTCATGTGGAATATTAAAGAAAATCTTTATGTAAACGTAAACGTTACTGCATATAAATAACCGTATTAAGCTAATATCAAAAATCCTTGTCGCGGAAGTGTCGTAAAAGTATTTCGCCATTAAAAGGAACATCTCGGCCCACTCAAGTCCATAAACAACATTACCTTATCCCATTTTCTCCCCGATTAGTTAAGAGACTAGACTATCGGATCCAATCGCCCCCCAATTCCCCCTAAATTAGCATAATAGTTCCCTCTCTTACCTATTTTCCTCGTGCGCGCTGTCCATTAAGTTTCTTAATTGTGTCTCGTCCTCCCTAGATGGCACTTTGTCGCTTCTTTATTAAAACTTGGAAAAAGTTGGTGCCGCTCCCGCTGCTGATTTAAAACAGTGGCCGAGGTTCGAGTTTCCGTCTGCGAGGTAAAGCTGAAAAAGAAAGAGTAGCTGACATATAACCGATTTACGTTATAAGTGAATTTAGAGGAGACTTTTTTGGTATTTTACAAAATAATTAGCTTTTTAAGCAACTACAAAGAAAAAGGTTGATGAGGCTGAAAAGATGGATTTATCTAGATAAGGCTTTATTAAACGCAGTTTAATATCAAAGGACAAAGCAACATCCTACATAGCAATTTTTTTTTCTGCTGAGATTGGTTGATTTTTAAGAAACTGTTTTTTATAAGTGTTATTTAGAAATAACAGTTTGAAACAGTTACCTACTGATATAATTAACAGTGTGCAAACAGTACAGTGTACAAGTTCCAACCTATATGTTTCATTGTAAGTGTGTTTCACAGTGTGTTTATACAGTGTGTTTCAAAAAGCATGTGCCATTTCTCGTGGGAAGATTCCTGACGACATGGATCTGATTCTACTTTGTTTCGTAACTACAGGGTGTCAAAGTCTTAATATTTTTTAAAGTCTTTATACTGAAAAGTAGAATCAGTGGGTAACGATATGAAGTGTTTATGGAAAATAATAAATGAAATTAAAGGTAGTGATTGTAATAATAATGAAAGAAACATTTCTATCAAAAGTCGGTTTCATCAATTTTCTTATACAAAAAACGGAAAATGTGGGAGTTCTGGGGACTACAAGCACACTTTTTTTTTTTTTGAAAGTGTGCAAATCACAAAAGTTAACGGGGTGCTTAGTACTTCAAATTTTGTAAATTATGGTATTCTTCAGGGTACTGTTCCGGGCCCTGTTCTGTTTTTAATATATTTAAATGATTTTTTGGAAATAAAGCTAAACAGTGGAAACATGATATTATATGCGGTATACGATTCCCTAATACTATTTGAAGGGAGAATGTGGCAAGAAACGGCCATTTAGACAAATCAAGAACTGCATGAAGTTAAATGTTGGTTGGATGAGAATTACCTGACTCTGAATGCGAATAAAACTGTGGCTGTTACATTTAATGTCCCGGATATTTTTTTTCTAACTTACATAATACCGTATGATCGAGAAAAAACGGCGTCAGCTATGGCTATGGAATGAAGGTCGCTGTCATTTTATATGTAAATTTATACAAGGCTTTCTACGCCGTAAATTAATCATATTTGAATTGAAAATCGAATTTGATCTTGAAAACACTGGTCTAATGTTTGCTATTGCTATATTTACTAATGACATCGAAATTAATTTATTTAGAGGTCATTGGTATTTTACTATAAACTAGCTAAATATTTTTGAATATTATTTTTATTTTTTTGTTCTTTGACATTGTAAACATTTATAAATGTTTATTTTAACAATAAGACTGACAATATTATTTGTATAATGTTTTGTATTATCTTTTGTTTGTTTGTTTGTGTACCTTGTTTTCTTTTACTTTGTTTGTTACCTTTGTCTAAAAATTGAAAATTTTTTTGACAATAAAGGCATTTATTTATTTATTTATTTATTTATATGGGAAATGTCATCGATGTTCATTTCTCAGCCAACTGGACGCCGTTTTTTTTTCGATCATACGGTATAAACATTGAGGGTGGCTATGTTCAATATCGGAATACTACAAAATATGTAGGTTTACATTTGGAAACTATCTACAATACTACAATACTAATATACAGGGTGGCCCATCGAAAACGTTCCGCAAGGCATAACGGCCAGGGTATTTATTTTTTCAAAAAATCCGAAAACACGTCAATTTTGTTTGTGAGGGGGACAACTTTTGCCCCAAAAACGATTGCAAAATATTCAACCCTCTAAGCGGGGGTGTCATCCCCCAACTTTTTTCAAATGGAAAGGGGGGTCAAGTGGCGCCGCAATGAAAAGAGCTTTCTATTCTCTATATTTCCCCGCTTCGTTTTTGAAAATCGGTCGAGTCATTGAGAAAATATGAAGGATTGAAATTTGAAAAGTTTATTTAAGCATTTATCAGAGTAAATGATAATTAAGGATAAATTCGACCAATTTGCTGTTTTTTCTTATTATTTCTTGATGTTTACGCATTTTTTCACTTGCCACAACGTTGACCGATCAGGTATGGTTGTTGCTAGATAGCTGTTCTGTGACTTGTACGTTGAAGGTCTTCTCAATATCGTTAAACTGACCCACAATAGAACTTCCAAAAATACCAGCCCACACGTTCAATTTCTGAGGGTTTTGGTGTGCACCTCGTGAAAAACCTTGGGATTGTCCTCAGGCCAGTACCGACAGTTGTGCCGATTAACTACACCATTGAAAAAGAAAGTACACTCGTCCGAAAAACACACATTAAATAGGAAATTATTATCATTCGCCACTCGTTCACTCATAGCTTCACAAAATTGCAAGCAACGATCAAAATCGTCTTCGTTGAGTTCTTGTACAAACTTGTGTTTTTTTAATATCCTTTGGACACTTGTACGATTCACGCCGGTCTCATTGGCTAATTTTCTTGTACTTGCCCCTTGGCAACTTGGCCCAGTACGAATATCTCCATAGCTTCATTTACTACAGGATTTTCCCTCTGCCTCTTTTTATTCATAACGGAACCAGTTTCACGAAATTTTGCTACTAACTTGCGAACAATTTTGCCATAAAGGTGTTGTCAGGATGGCGTTCATTGAATATCTGCGCAACCCGATTGCAAACATCTAGAAATAATAAGAAAAAACAGCAAATTGGTCGAAGGAATTTATCCTTATCATTTACTCTGATAAATGTTTAAATAAACTTTTTAAATTTCAATCCTTCATATTTTCCCAACGACTCGACCGATCTTCTAAAAGGAAGCAGGAAAGTATAGAGAATAGAAAGCCCTTTTCATTGCGGTACCACTTGACCCCCCTTCCCATTTGAAAAAAATCGGGGGATGACACCCCCGCTTAGAGGATTGACGATTTTGCAATAATTGTTGGGGCAAAAGTTGTCCCCAACAAAATTGACGTGTTTTTGAATTTTCTGAAAAAAAAATTACCCTGGCCGTTATGCCTTGCGGAACGTTTTTGGTGGGCCACCCTGTATAGTCTAAAAGCTGCCTACATAAAAAACCTTATCATCGTTACATGGCTAATTTTTTGTGTGAAGTATCCTTTTGTAGCCATTATGAAATAGTCATGTCTGCCTGCGCGATCCCGGGGCTTAAAGCGGGGACGGCCAATCGAAAGGGTGAAATTTTGGCACTAAAAATATTATAAGGTACACGAGTTATAATTACGAAAATAGCTTTCATATATTATTAAGAAACGTGGAAAATTGCAAACATCTTTCTAGTCGCTAAAATGCCGACAGACAACGCGAAAAAGGCATGAAATTTTAAATATTATTAAAAAATTAAATTTAAAGAATGAAAGTAATTATGGCGTACATGCATGCCGATCGGTGGAATGTCATATTTATTTATTTTAAAAGCCGTATGCAAAAGGGCAGACAAAAAGATAGTGGCTAAATCAGCTGCAGACAGGTATCAAAAGCGCGATATTAAGGCGCGTATTCATCTGAGCACGAATGCGAACGAGGCAAGGCGAGGCAGAACGAATGCCTCGTTTGAACTTTGAAAACCGCAAATTGAAATCAGGCGGGATAGCGAACGAGGCACCGATCCACGGCCGTGCGGCGTGCGGCACTGTCGGCAGATAAAGAAACATGACAGGTGATGATTTAAAAGTTTCTTTAATACGTTAACCTTTTCTTCCAAAACATCTGCAAGTTCGCCCCAGGCATCCTCTTTTTTAATAACATCATAGTAGTAACATAAGTTGATGATCTTTTTTCCATAAAATGGGTCGCTTTTCATATTCTTTAATTAAAATTAACGTTTTTTCATTACTCCAGTTCATACTGCAAGTTTATTATGACACATGAACCAAAACAAATTTAACGAATTAAAGATTTAAACGGAAGCGCGAGGCAAAAATACAAAATCACCGTCCACATCGAACCGAATGGTACTCAAGTTCCCTTTGATGTACCGACTCGCTACGGATGGCAGCCGAACAGCCTCGGATCTAACCGAGGCAGTTTGCCGCTCCTCGTAGACCCGTCCACATTCGTATGCTCGCCTTGCCTCGTTCGCGTTCGTGCTCAGATGAATACGCGCCTTTACTCTAGCGCTTTCAAGGAACGCTCGCCGAATCATCCATTTAAGTATAGATAAATAATAAAATAATGTATACGATTATATTATAAACTAGCGTGTACCAGCGACTTCGTTCGCGTCGGATTAATCATTGGTAATGGTGATGATAAGGCAAAGCAAGAATTTCCATTAACATACAAACTGGGTGAAATTTTCTCACATTTATGTCAGCATGAGAAAAAACAATATGGCGATATTATTATATAACTTGGTAATATTTGAGGGGTAGTTTCATCTCGTTGGAATTTGACTTTCGAAAAATCCGTTTGCCAAAAATAAGCTTTTTACGTCAAGCAGTTTAAGCAGAATCGTGGTTAAGAAATTACTCAACTTTTTGGAACACCCTGTAAGATTTTTTAAAAAATTTCAAAATATGAAAAAAAAACAAATAAATTATGCTTGTCCAAGCGTTTTCCCGAAAGACTAACAGTTTTTTAAATAACAAATATTGGAATATATTGAAATAAACATGACATTCGACCAATGGACATGCATGTATAGGATGATTTTTTTTGTAAAATTCCATGCCTCTTTTGCGTTGTCTGCCGGCATTTTCAACAGTTTTACACGTTTCTTAATAATAAATAAAAGCTATTTGGCAATTATAACTCGTATACCTTATAATATTTTTAATGTCAAAATTTCACCCTTTCGATTGGCTTTAAGTCCCGGGATCGCGCTGGCAGACATGACTATTTCACAATGGCTACACAAAAGCATACTACACAAGAAAAATTAGCCATGTAACGATGATAAGGTTTTTTATGTAGCCAGCTCTACGTCTAATATATACTAGAGTCTAAAATACAATAATCATATTAATATTTTAACTTCCAATATCAGAAAGCTGATTTATTTGTTCAGTCATTTAAGATTATATATGAATTTTGAAACCTTAAGAAAGATATGTTTTGCATTTGGCCAGAGTTTACTACAGTATGGCATTACAGCGTGGGGCTCTGTTTATAAAACATTACTAAAGAAAATCTAATCATCACAAAAAATTCTTTTAACAATAGCTCTATTTAAACCATATCACTTTTCCACTAATAAACTTTTGCAAGTTTTCAAGTACTGGATATACGTCAACTATACGTGAGAAATGTAGTAGTGTGTATGTATATTAACATACAGGGTGAGTTTCCTACGATGTTCTCTATGGGTATCTCGGAAACCACTGGAGATAGAGAGTCAGTTAAATGGGGAAAGAATTGCAGTTTTATGGGGTCATAAATATCCGCCTTTCAGATTTTCGAAAAAGTTCATGGCTAACTAGATATTTCGAAAAAAACAAATTTTGGCTATTTTAAAAATTGTCCCTAATTCCATTATAATCTATTTTTGATAAAAAGTTTTGAGATAAAAGTTGTAGATAATCACATCCTTAATGAGTCTGTGTACTCCGATTTTTTCTAAACCCTGTCATTTTTGACATATGACACAAACATATGTTTTTTTTAAATGGAAACCATAGTTGGCCATGACTTCATAAAAAGCGCCATTTTTTAAGCTTTTCAGCGATATAAACTATAATATGTTTCTTTCTCAAAATTACTGAGTTATAGCCAATTCTTATCTTTCTTGACTAATTTAACTTAGTTAGAGCCATGGAAACAAGTTCAATCGTCGTTGCTCTCAGAAATATGAAATTGTCACATTCAATCTTTGTAAATTAAAATAAACAAAAATTGTAAATAAGAGTTTTTCAAATGAAGAAAAGCGTGTAGGATTATTAATTCAACTTTTCTTGGCCATACAGTTTCGAGGATAGGTTGACCGTTGACCGGTGAACGTTACTTACGTTTTTTAGAGAAAGGTTTTCAAGACATGTTAGAAAAGGTAAATTTATTATTACTCGCGCGTTAATAGAGTGGTTCCAACATGACTTTCATTATGACACACCAACCCCATCCCCCCCCCCACATACACACACAATGAAAGAAATGTTAAAAATTATTTATATCATAATTATGTAGACTCAGGGATAGAAAGAGGTGGACCAATTGCATGGTCTCGGTCACTTGACCTATCCATTTTAGATTTTTTTATGCGGTATGGTTAAGAACAAGGTTTACAAAAGAACTTATGAATTGAGAGAGGCACTCGAAGAGGTGGAACAGGAGAAGTTTAATTAAGTCGACTGGTCGTTCTGTGAGTATAGCTGGAGATTCAGTTCAAAAAAGATAAATTGATGTACTCAAAACAATTGCGGATTTTTGAAAATTTTCTAAAATAACTTATAATGATATTATTTTTTTAAGTTTTAGTTTGTGTAATGCAAATTGTAGAGCCGTTTAATAATATATTTTGTCTTTTTATAAGTAATAAATCATAACAAAGTCAGAACACCATTGAAAACTTGTTTCCATGGCTAACTAAGTGAAATTAGCCAAGAAAGATAAGAATTGGCTATAATTCAGTAATTTTGTGAAAGAAACATATTATAGCTTATATCGCTGAAAAGCTTAAAAAATGGCGCTTTTTATGAAGTCATGGCCAACTATGGTTTCCATTAAAAAAAACATATGTTTGTGTCATAAGTCAAAAATGACAGGCTTTAGAAAAAATCAGACAACACAAACTCATTAGGAATGTGATTATCTACAACTTTTATCTGAAAACTTTTTGTCAAAAATAGATTATAATGGAATTAGGGACAATTTTTAAAATAGCCAAAATTTGTTTTTTTTCGAAACATCTAGTAAGCCATGAACTTCTTCAAAAATCTGAAAAACGCATATTTATGACCCCACAAAACTGCAATTCTTTCCCCATTTAACGGACTCTCTATCTCCAGTAGTTTCTGAGATGCCTATAGAGAACATCGTAGGAAACTCACCCTGTATATGCATAAATACAAAAAATCGACAAATAATAATAATTGTAACAATATATTTACAAGAGCCTATTCAAGACAATATTATGCAAACATACCGTTTATGAAATTTAAATTAACACAGCATTTTTAGCTTTATATTGGTTCAAAACAATATAACCTTTTACCTATGGATATAAAAAATGCCACAATGATGCGGTTTGAATTTTTAATAAAAAAAATGGATAATATCAAACCATTCCTATCGTACTATTACCTAAATACCAAAATATATATTAGTGACTCTCTGGTATCCGTGCCTTGTAGTGGTGACAGGGTCGGTATTTAAGTATTTATTTAGCTTGTATATCTAAGTAGCTATTTTTTGTTTATTTTTTATTTCATTTACATGTAACAATGATAAGGTTTTTATGAGTCCCACTATTAGTATATGTCATTAGTCATTTTTTTTAAATAAGGCGGGTTTTGCAACTTGACATCTCACGATTTCTTTTTCGTTTTCTTTAAATTAATTAATTGTCTTTTAATATTATACCATTTTAGTGTTTTTATGAGATCCTATATCTAGTACAATTCAAAAACTGTCCTTTTCAATTACGCCTTGGAAGCCTTAAGCTATTCTTGTTTTTAACTTACCTGAAAGTTTAATATTAAATGCGGCCCAAATCCGAAACCAAAATGTAAAGGCAAGGATAAAAACCACTTTCAGTTCGTACTAATCTGCATCAACGCGTCGCAGTAATAAAACTGTTTTCCGTTAAGATTAAACCGAAGGAAAATACGGAAAAACTTCAAAATATGAGAAAACTTTAGAGGCGGCGAGATAAAATTTTAATTTTTCGAAATGGGACTGGCTGAATAATCGTGTCGACTACATCGTCTGGACTTTTTTTCATTTTTTTTTTGTTTTGTGACGTCTTATTCTGGGCCTGTTTGTTCTGCTAGTTAGCGTTATTTAGCTAAAATGTGCAATAAGCAGCTGGAGAAACGTAGGTCAATTCGACAAGTAACAAAACAAAAAAATTAAAAAAATTGTATATTGTTTTACAACGGCGTGCAGTCCATGGAAGCAAGGGAAACAGAGTGCTTCCCCTAAACAAATTACAAAACATCATCTTCTAAAATGTAATTTTTGAAATATGGAACAATTAATTTGGTTTATATTAAAAATGCTAAACATTCTTAATTCTATCTTAATTTAATTAATCTTAATAATATCCTAATAATCTATAAATAATAATTAATCATAATTATCAAGCTCATAACAAATACGGTCTTGACTCCTTGTATTAGACATTTAAATCCCAAAAACAATACGAACAATTTAAATGGTTAACAGGGTGTGAAAATATAAGTTATTTGATTGACCATCTTTATTATTTGAAAATGAAAACGGTCTCTGGAATAAAACTGTTTTTTTTTTCGATTTAAACAATTTCCATAAAGCTGTAAAAAGACACATTAGGTCCAAAGTACATTTGCAGGTATAAAAAAAAAGTCTTTGGCAAAATAAGAATTGAAAACGCCCTTAATAAGCAGTTGGAAGTTAGCCACCGCGAACACAATGAACTAGTCAATAAAATAGGCAAATATTAAAATGACTTATCGATGTCGTTTGTTTTCTCGGACAGATATTCAACAACAAATTAACTGTAGATTTAACGGTTTAAATGATTTGAAATTTCTCGAGCTCTGCAATTTTGATGCATATGTTACGCTTAATAGTCGAATTCGCGCAATGCCCGAAAAAAAAGACGGAAATCTAGTTTTGAGCAAGGAATATTTCCCAAACCCGAAAAACCAACTAACCAATGAATTAACACCCTCCAAATAACCACGCTAACGAATTCGCCAAATAACTAAACCAATCCAACCAGAAAGAGTGAAACCAATGCAATCAAATCACACTATAAGCAAAAAAAATAATCTAATAAAATTAATTTTTCGGGTTTGGAAAATATTCCTTGTTCAAAACTAGATTTGCATATTTTTCTGGGGCATTGCCCGAATTCGACTATTGAGCGTAATACATATAAAGGAATAACTTTTCCAGAAGATGCGTTTAAATCTTTTCTTCTTCATTATGGCCAGTTTTTCGACCGAGTGTTACTGCGATCTACCAAAAGTGATTTACGAAACTGATGACAAAAAATAACTCTAGAGAACTAATGCAATTTTTAAAAGAAAAGGATCTAGAAGATGCCTATACCGAAGTGTCGAAATTGTGTTAGTATTGAGTTAGTATTGACAATACCTACCACAAGTTCATCAGTAGAACACAATCTTTCAACACTTAAACGTATCAAAAATTTCGTGAAAAATTCAACGGGTCAAGAGAAATTTTCGCAAGTATGGCTATTGTCCATCGAAAATAAACTTCCCCAAAACATGTCGGCGCATCCACGTGTTTATGATGACGTAATTGACGAATTTGCAAGAAGTAATCGAAGAATCGAATTACAGTGACTCTATACCATGATACAAAGAAAACAAAGTATGATATTGCGCAGGTTGGTCACTATGTCACAGGTGATAAACGGTACCATTGGTCGGCAAGCTCCGCTCGCAAATTTCAAATTGTCAAACAGATGACACATAATAAATGTAAACATTATTTTTCAAATGTCAAGCTCGATGATTTGCCATAACTTTTGGGGTTATGTCCTAATTATTCCCTATTTTAGGTCTTTTTTTATTAGTGGCAATTGAACAATATGGATATATTTTTGTATGACATAATATGATGTCACAGGTTATATGCGCAAACTGAACGAAATTGGGGCCGCTATCGATCATAGAGTAAACGCCACGAATGTTTGGGAGTGATTCATCACTTGATTAACAGGACACTGTCTCCTCAATGAACACCTCAGTAGATTGAAACTAAGAAGAAACGGCGAATGCAGATTCTGTGGGGAAGATGGGGAAACACCAGTACACCTCATCACTGAGTGCGCCGAGACGACAACCATTCGTGCCATGAATTTTGGTACGACTGATATTGGAGATGGAGAACTATTTAAAGGCTCGGTCTAATCATCTGTCTGCGCTCCTCCTACTTATTCTAAAATGTTAGCGTGATTGACTAAGACGATACTATATCGCGTTTCTTTGATTGATTCGTTTTTGTGCGTCAGTCCATTGGTGTGCTTGCAGTGCGGCCAGTGGGGCATTCTTTTTTATATTTATAACCAAATATATGTTTTGACAAGACTTTGACAGTTAAAACAACAAATTACAATAGGTTATATATAGATTATTATATGACTTGAAACACCACGGCACTGGAATTATGTTTTATGCGACCTTGAACAGATTAGTTCACATGGTAGCGACCGATGAATCACTCCCAAACATTCGTGGCGTTTACTATACATTGTTTTCTTTGTACCATGATTATCGACTGTCATTCCCGAGCCGTCTTTGACGCCATTTTTATTCAATCATACATTATTTTTTAATACTCTTATTCAATAATTAAATTAGAAAACCTTCAGATTAAATCCATTAATTTCTCATTTCATTTTGATTAATCTCACATTATTTCTGAAGAACGAATTTAAAAATAATCAAAAAATGTATCATAATATTTATTTTTTTTTGTTTGTTTTGACAAGGTTTTGACGATAGTGATAACAACAGATAAATATTCGAATTTTTTTAAATTTATTGCCAACCAAACGAATAAAATCAGAATAGCCAACTGTTTCAAACGTTTTTTGTTGATAAAATTATTGGAACTATTCGTTTAATTTTAAGGGTGGAGTTTTTTTACTTGAAATCACTTAAAAAAAACAACAAAACATCCGGTATTTAGAAGCTTCCCCAAACAAACAAGAAATTCTGTGGAAATGCATCATTTTCTTTTTTGTCGACTTTAGAATAAGTATAATCAGTTAAATAATAAAAGTAACCAAATGAAAACGTGTTCCTGCTTTACATTCTAAACACTTTTCTTGTGTAGGTATGAACTTAACCTAGTAGATACTGTAATTTTAGACATTAATATCGTACCGGGAAAAAGCGAAAATAAACAAAAATGAATTGAACCAAACCAAACAAACCAAACCAATCAAAACACGTTGTAAGCTAAAACGCGTCTGTTTACGAATTCCATTTGCTGAGCACTTTTCAAAACTTGCCATATTATACAAAATTTTATGGTTTATTACAATGGTACATTTCCGCAAGAAGTTTTTTTGCGTGTCTATGTTTAGAAAAAATTCTAGAATGAAAGACAGAAATGTGTTTTCATTTAACTGGTTTCAGCTATTCTAAAGTTGAAAAACTGAAAATTATGCATTTCCGCAGAAAAATGTTCGTAACTTACTATTTGGAAAGGCCCCTTCCAAGTACTAATTAAACAAATATTTCTTATATAACTGATTTCATGTAAACGAAAGTAGCCCTGATTTCACCCATTCTAGAGTTAAAAAACTCGAAAAGGATGGATTTCCGCAGAATGTTTTTTCTTCATACATAACTGATTCAAGTAAACGAAACTTGAGCCAATTTTAATACAGTAAAATAGGAATAATAAATTTAACTTATTTTTTTATATTCAGCTTTAATGATAATAATATTGGTTAATGAAAAATATACACAATTTTGTTACCATACGATCTAAATTTGAATATAGGTAAAACATATTATTTATGCCAGTATAGTGCTAAAATAATACCTCTACGAGAAAACATTTTAGCAGTTTTTTCTGAACTCTCAACGCCACGCTTAGCAACTACGTAACGTATATAAAAACATCAGCTAAAATTATATCATAATTAATAAATAACAATAAACATAAACATTGATCTTTCTAATTTTTAAAACGATAATTATTTAAATTTGAGTCTTTACTGTCTTCTTCCCCAAATTTACTTTAAATATTATATTATAAATATAAACACATATAAACGCACGCGTATCATTAGCAACACAAAGATGTTGATACAATGACTGGCAGAAAAAATAGACACTTTTTTGTTTTATATTTTCATGTGTAATAGGCCGTTTTTTATGATTTTTAAGCCAATTTGTATTTAAATTAGTTTACTTTTCTGCCTCTTTTCAAATTAAAAATCAAAGTCGATATCTGTCTATCATACTAAAGAAAACAAAATATTGTTATTTTGGCCAATGTTTGATACACAGAAAATCACTATAATAAATGTAAAACTTGGAAAATAAGTTCGTTATAGTAATGCTTTATTTATCCACTATTCTAATAAAGAATATACATTCCTTCGGAAAATCTCTATTTATTTATCTAGTAGTGCTAAAACACTCTATTTGAAAGTCGATTAGAGAAAATAGTATGATTCATTGGCAAGTGATGTAAATATTTGTGATCAGATGAAATTGTGATGTAAGAGGAGGCTTAGCTTGCCGGCGGCGGGTCAGTAGTAGACGGGCCGGCCGGCTGTGTAGTGTTGTGTTTTGTCACAGAGCTGACAATTGGGGGTTGCGACTCGTTTGACTGAGGCAACGCGGTTGTTTGACAACAAGGAGAAAACCTCTTGTGACGTCTTGCCTTCGAGTTAAACTTGAGAGTTTAAGGTCTCCATAATGTCTTCTCGATTGACGATGCGGCGTTGGGGTAGTGAGGTACCCCAATTCTCCTATTCTATTGGGATGCGAATCTGTTTAGCGGCAGATTTGCGTCCGGGGGAAGCCCCTATACTATTTCAGGTGACACTAGCTAGTTGTTGAAGATTATTAACCAATAGATCCGAATAATATTTGAATTAGATGGAAGATATGGAATGGGATATATTAAATAGAATGTCAGTGATGTCAGTGGCTAGGGGGCGGAGTACCCCCGGGTGAGTTTTACTATTTAACTATCAATTTTATCCAGATCAGTAAATGTTTGTTTTGTTATTTTCAT